AATTCACACAAATCAAATATAATCAATCTTTACAGTAGTGAATTTTAAGTCATTCGTAAAACGTTAGATTCAGCTCCCTGTTTAGATTAGATCTAAACAATCAATAATATACACATGCATTCGTTCAACGTAAGATTAAGAATATTGTTTTATATGCTTTAGTGATAGAGAAGTGTTTGGTTATATTTTATTGTAAATTCACTTGAAATATTAGTTATATTTGTAGCTAGTTTATTATTATATATAATATAAATGTATTCATCTCTGCACTTTTTGAAATTAATTGCTTACTAAATTAATTATTTCACTTATATTATTATTAAAATGATATTATTTCTTCTCTTAAATTATAATTGCTCATATATGAACTTGATTCGAATTGATTCGAATCATGATTCGAATCAGGTTTTTTTCTGATTCGAATCACTCGAATCAAGAAATTTTCGAGTCGGAACATCACTAATATATATATATATATATATATATATATATATATATTATATATATTATATATCTTCAAAAAATTATAAATAATTTAAAACTAAACAAACTATAAATAAAAAACAATATGTAAATAAAAATAACTTTAATAGTAAATAAAATACATATAATCAAAATAAATAAAATAAACAAAATAAAACATATATAAACTAAAATAAAAATATAATTTTCCTATTAAAAAAGAAACTTTAAAATATAACATAAACTAAATAAACTTACAATTTTATAAACTAATATAATTATAAAAGAATATTGAAATTACTTATATATTTGTACAAATTAAATCTTTGTTAAAAAACTTTGGTTTCTGATTTAAAATATTAATATCTTAATTATATTTAGAAATATGAAAATACATTTGCAGTTTTAGATTTCAGCATTAAATGTCTTAATAATTTCCTATGAAGAATACATCTGTTTCGACTTGAACCCATTACTATTTATTCCGAGAACATTAAATTATTACTTCGAAGAAATTTCGTTAAATTAGATTTATTATTTACAAATTCAAAAAAAAAATATACTAGATTCAAGAGTAAAAAAAAATTCGTAAAATTTGCTAGTAAGTACTTTGAACTCAAATGCATACCATACATATTTGTCAAAGATACATCAGCCAAAAAAATATTTTGTACTGCAATATCAGAGAATAAAATTCTATTACTACTATTCAATTTCCCTTAAGGTCAGACTTAATTTCCCTGTCAACGGATTTTTATCCGGTATCATCAAATGTTCTTTACCAGTTCCATTATCGTTGGTCTTTTTCAAAATGGGCTGAAGAACAAATGATTCGCTGTCCCTTCTCACCTGGTTCATGGCCAAGATCGCCTGGGCACCAGACGAGCTGAGCCTGGGCACCGATCCTGATCTATCGTGCACCCTGTTGACGATCAGCTGCGTCTGCTGCCTTTTGGCGCGGATGTTGTAGGCGCCGTAGACGATGGGATTGGCGCAGGAGTTGGCGCAGGCGAAGAGGAACAAGCCACGCTGAATGCGCTGGTCCACGTGAACTGCAGTCTCTCGGTCTATCCAATACCTATGATCGAAATTATATTAACTATCTTATGCATAGACAAAATTTATAGGCCAATTATGTCGTAAAATAACCCAATGTTATGGCAACGTTATGTTACGCTGAGTCTCTTAACTTCCAGTAGGGTAAGTTATAGTAATCGCAAAAAATGTTTGCATATCTTTACGTTTCAGAGGTTTTCAAATATTTGGCATCCCTTACAAACATTTATGTATGCCTGTGTGTGTGTATGTATGTTTGGATACAATTTTTCGTCCACTATTCTGGGCGCACGGTTCAACCGATCTGGATAATTCTCGATTCCTATTGATAAGGGGACGCTCTGATTAGTTTTTGGCAAAGGCAGGTCTGGCCATTTATTAGATATGGAGCAAAAAGTGTAACTAGTGGGATATATGGCTTAAGACAAATTGCTGGAACTTCCCGTACCGTAACAAAATGTTCGAGGAATACTGAATGTTTTCAAATAGATTATTATTAATATTGTAACATTGTCTAATATTTATAACAAATATATAAACTAAATTGCAAAGTTGAAATTATTTATTTAAAGTATATTAGAACTATAGTCAGAATTAAAAATAAAATCTGAATTATTTTCAATATACAAATAAAATTTTTTTGAAAAAAAAAAGTTAAAACAAAAATTTTTTTTCCAAAATCAATTATTTTGTTAAGACAAGCAGAAAGTTCTTTAAATCATTCAAATCGGACGCTTAGTTCTCTCAAAAACTGCCATTTTTTACGTATTACCCAGCCGTATCTTCGAAATGGCTGGGCCTGCCTTTGCCAAAAACTAATCAGCTCTTCTCCCTATCAATAGGAATCGAATGTTTTTTGAACCATTCAAATCGGTTGATCCGTGCGCCCGAAAACGTGACTGGAAATTTATATCCATACATACATACACACACACACATCAATTTTTCTGAAGTATGCAAAAACGTTCAGAAACCTTCAAAACGTCGAGAAATGTAAAAATTTTCAACTTCGATTTTCGGCCCATTACAATAACTTACCCTACGGGAAGTTAGAAAATGGTAATTCAATTAAGGAGATTGCGGAACGTCCGGTTTACATGGCACAAAGAACGTATTGACGTATTTGTATTGACAAAAGGAAGAACTGATTATTTTTTTTAGAAAGGCGGATCTAGCGGTTTTGGAGAACCAATAATTTTTTTTTTAAATCTATTTCAAAATTATTTTGGTATTTCATAGAGAAATCGTTAGTATGCAACTTGGCGCTTCTGCACTCGATATTTCGTCTCTACGCGGCTGACTCAGCGCGATTGCTTTGAAAATTTTATTTAATTTTCGGTACGGGAAGTTGCAGCAATTTAGCTTAAGATACAATGCCATGCACCACTAGTTTTCTGGTAAATGGTACTGAAAACTGTAGAAAAAAAAACAACTTCACGCATGTGTTTTTATGACTCATCACAAAGATGCCCTTATAATAAGATTTTTTTGTCGTTTGTGCGTTTTCTAGATTAGGTTTTCTATCTAAAACGCCTGACTGCCCAGCAACCACATAGCATTTAGACAGTTTGTAAGATCATTTTATATGAAAAAAAGCAGCGTAACATAGCCTTGACATAACAATGGTCTATTTTACGGCAGAATTGGCCTATTAATTCAAGATTTGCAACTCCAATTTAAGCCTAAAATAAAAATAATTTGATAAGACTAATAATAGAATTATGGCAGAACGGGGCCTAAAAGGTAGATCTGCTTTAAAGGTTTCAAAAAATCGCTTTTTTGAGGAATTTTTAAGAAAAGAAATAAATATTTAATTGAAACGAGATTACAATTTCCATCCGAAACAAAAAAATCAAAGCATATATATATTTTCAATAGTATAGATTCAAGTTGAACCTTATAAATCCAGAAATTCACCAATTTTTCTCAACTTGAAATAAAAATCATGTTTTTAATACAAAATTTCACTTTAGATTGTTTAAAAAGTGGGTGAACTATAACTTTTTTAAAGGTTTTTTAGGTTCAACTAAAATAGAATTTAATACAATAAATTTTGTATCGTTTCGATGGGACGTTTTGGTTTTTTTTCTATCTTTCTCCCCAATTAAGATGAATCGAAAAAATTAAAAATCGAGAAATCGCGCGTCTAAGTTTTCGTTCTGCTTGACGCTTGCTCTCTATTTCTTCTGTAACTCTGAAAATAATTTGATTTTGTTTCTGAAATTTTAGGGATATATTCTTAGCTAGTTTTGGAAGACATTTTTGCAAAAAAAACGATTGTTTTTACGCCTTTAAAGCAAGCTTCCCCCTTAAGAGTTCGTGGATTTAAAGATAATCCATTAGTCCACAAAAACAAATAACGTATCGTACTTTTCAAGTTCTGTTTCCAGACGATCTTTTACTTTTAGTTACGGTACCTGGATATAGTTTTTTAATTAATTTATTTTATACTTGAGGTATATTATTCTTATTTAGGTCAAATTCAACTATCTTTGCATTTGACCTCTATGAAAGCCTACGAGAAGTAATAAAAAAAAAACAAATAAACCTTACACTGGAAAGAGCGTAAACTGAATGAAATAAAATATATAAAGAAGTAGAACTAGTTAAAATTCATTTTTATAACGAATTTTTTTTTAATGTTTAATGAATAGTTTCTCCAACTCTGACGATGAATACTTCTGTTTTGATCATAATATTATTCATATGGTATTTAATTTTACCATTTTAAAATATAGTTTACAAGAATTAATAATCTTTTAGTTTTTTCATGAATCTCATCTATTTTTATGCAAACAAATTGAATTAAAGTAAACAAATTTTTTTTTAACAATTTAAAATTTAAGTTATCATACCACATGCTCATGACGTAGTACGGTGTCCAGCATATGAAGAAAACTAAGACTATGGTAACAGTCATTTTTAAAGTTCTCACTTTCGCACGACCCAAGAATCCCAACGATGAACGACGCATTTTATCTGAAAATAAGAAAAATGATATGAATATGGAATAAGAACAATAATTTTGGTATCTAACTCAGAAATTCTATCACTATATATAAACATGTTTTCTTGTAAAGTAATAATATAAAAATAACATAAAACAAAACATTTTGTTCTCTTCTTTCTAGATTTTAATTCGGCATGGTCTATAAAATAAAAAATAGTCTTCATAAATAAACATGTTCCATACAGTCGGTCCACGTGAACAGCTTTTTAGAACGACTAAATGATATTTGATTGCGATATTAAAGGAAATAATATTAAATGATATCATATGTACATATAATTTTAAATAATATATAGAAATATGTTATTGAAAATTTACACATACACATATTTTTATTATGAAACGTCTAAAATAAATTTAGACCACAAATAGATAAACTTTAAAAAAGCTCATAATATAATCATAACTAGAAACTGTAATTGAAGTTTTTGTGTTCATACATATTAGTAAAAAACGGCGAGTAAATGTTCAGCCAATTTTATAAAGATCAATAAAAATTTTGGGATTCGACTATAAAATAAAATATTAATACACAAAATGTATTTATATTCGGAGGATCTGAAATATTATTTATTTTAAGAGTTAAATTAAAAAGAAAACTATTGGTTCATGTCATCATGCTTTATGGTAAATGGCTGGAAATTCCCGTACTGTAATTTAAATTTTTTAAAAGCTTTGATTTTTTCTTTAAAATTAGACTTGTTTGAAATGTTTAAATTTTTAAATTATTTAATTTTATTTTGCAATCTGTATGTGGGGTATCTACTTAGTACTAATTAATATTATAAAAAAATAGAAACAAAAGGAAAAAAACTATAAAATATAGTAAAATGAAAGTATTGTAGTTATTTAAACTGTATTAGGTCTCCAGGTATTTTTCTTTAAAGCCTGGTCGGCTGGACTTCAAGGTAAACGGCATGCTAATTGGTTAGGATGGACGTCTATCCTGCTTTTATAGTTGTTGGCAACTATTGTTATATGTTTTAGAATTCGAATTAAATCGACTTTTTTGAACATTTTGAAAATCTCTGAACATTCTGAAAATTTTTAGTTAGAAACCCCTAGGTTCAATTCTAGATAAATCCAAATCCTTAGGTTTAATTCTAAGATAATATTATATATAAAATTGTTACTATAAATCTCTTGGCTACAAATTCAATGGATGAGATTCTTGAAAAATAAACCTTATAAAATGTTTTATAAAACTTCTTTAAATGATTCTACATTTCACGTTTTGGATCTTTCACCTAAAAGAGGAAGACCAAAAATATACGGAAATATTAAATTACTTCCATTATACACCAGCATTAGTATCGAAAAAAAAACATAAAGATATTATGAGTTTACTACCGTACATCCCTCCAGTTTTTCATGAACATTTTAAGAATCTTAAATTCTCGAAATAATGATAAATATGGATTACTGTTTTAAAATAATTAATAAATGCTCACGAATTATTTCAATAAAATTATTGTTTCAAATAAAACTCAAAGTTCTTTATTGCTTTAAGTCATTTATAGGACATTCAGTTAATTTTGAAAATGGTCCAAGTCAATTCAAACTTTAAAAACAATATTATCGTAAAAAATTCACACAAAATTTCATATTCATAATAAATTTCCATTAATTAAGACTAATAAAATTAAAAATTAAAATGTCGCATAATGTGAAAATATTTTTTAATTTATTCAAATGCAATTCATTAAATATCTTGAAACAAGAAATATTATATATGACTTAGACCACTTTCATAATTATGGGCACATATATAATGATCAATTTTAACAGCTAAATTGCAGTTTTTTTGACCTTCTTTTCTGGAAACCTCTGGACCTGCATTCATATTTATTAAAAAAAATTAAGTGATTATTTCATATTCAAAATTGTTGTAAATAGTAAGAGAATATAGAAAAAATTGTAAACACTAATTTAGTGCCCTTCAAGTGCCTCTATCAAAAAGGGTCAACGTTGCTTCCGTGGTATTGTAGGGAAAGTCACCTACTGGGATTTACGTGGAACATCATCACGTCAAATCAATCCCGATATTTCTCTTCTTTACACGCGAGAGATACATATCAAGTACATGTGACACGACTGCCTGACCACCAAAGGCGTCATTGTTAACGTACTTTCCCAGGAAGCTCCAGACCCTCTGTAAAGGTATGTACCGGATCGGTATATATACTCAAAATACGTGCAGTATTGCGAGGCGAGAGTTATGGACAAGATAGTGATGCACGGCACCAATAAAATTGATGGAATTAACAGGAACTTTCCGTACAGTTCTTTAATTTTTATTGAAAGCTACAATTTTTTTTAATTAAAAAAAATGTTTTTTAAGTGAAAAATTATTCTTAAATAAATATTCATTTATCATTCTAATTATTTATCTATCTAATTTTCATCATGCCTTAAGACAAGTTGCTGAAACTTCCCGTACCGAAAATTTAAATTTAAAAAAAAAACTTTGAATTTTTGAAAAAACAGATTTATGAAATTTTTACGTTTTGAAAAATTTGATTTTTTTTATTGTTTTTTTTTTTTAAATATTTTGAAATTCGCGCAATCGCGCTGCGTAGCTGTTTTATAAACAAAATATCGAAGCGCATAATCGCTGACTAGCAGTCTAACGGATAAACACTGTTTCGGAATCCTAAGAAATACAAACAAATTCGTACTTATTATTGAAATCTCTATAAAATATCAGATAATATAGCCAAATGGCTTTTTTTACTTTTTATATTGAATCTCCGAAACCGCTATACCTGCCTTCCTAAAAAAAATATTCACTTCTTTATTTCGTCAATACACATAAAATGATTTTTGAATCATTCAAATCGGACGCTCCGTTCTCTCAACTGAATTTGCATTTTTTTGCCCCGTAACTTCGAAACGGCAGGATCTACCATTGCCAAATATGTTTGTTGAATCATTCAAATCGGATGATCTTATTAATAATAAAAACACAAAGTACCAAATATTTTAATTAAATAAATAATATCAAAATAAATTTTATTATTCATTTAAGATAGGAGACAGGTTTATATCGACTTGCAGAGGGGTCTAAATCAGCGCAAAAAAATTTCGGGTTTGTTGAAATAAGAATAGAGATTCAAGATATCTTGATAATACTAAAACATCGGATTTCTTCTTCTCGATGAATTTAAATTCAATTATAAATGTATAACATAACGATATATGTAATTAATTTTATTCATTCATTTATTCGTGAGCAAGGCATGATTAATAATAGATACTACTTTACCTTTTATTGTCAATAACAAAGAAATATCAGGTACCTATGTTAGGGGTCTGGAACAGAAAGTGAAAACAGATGCAAGGAATCCACAACTCAAAAAAGTTTAGGAAATCTATGATTTCAGGTAAAAAGTAAATAGTTAGTTGACTAACAATAAGTAAATGATTAGCTTATAAAACTATTTATGGCGCACATATATATTTCTTATGTAGATAATTCAAATCAAAATTTTTATAAGATGCAATTTTGCATATAATTTAGCTTATTAACTTCCCGTAGGGTAAGTTATAGTAATCGCTTAAAAATCGAAAAATAAAATTTGTATACTCGTATATCTTTACTTTTCAGAAGTTTCTGAACATTTTGGCATACCTGAGAAAAAATGGATGTATGTGTGTGTGTATGTTTGTATAAAACTTTTCGTCTACGATTTCGGGCGCACGAATCACCGAAAACACTAGACATGCCTTCTCAATACAAATAATTGTTCCTTCCCAATAATAATAATATGAATCAGTTAAATCAGACGCTTCGTCATCTCAAAAACTAAATTGCAATTTCTGGCACCTTTTGCCCCATATCTTCGAAACGGCTGGATCTGCTACTGTCCGAAAAGTTTTTTAAATCATTCAAATCTAACCGATTTGAATGTTGGAAAAAACATTCGATTACTATTGATGAGAAGATACGGGGCAAAAAGTGCCAAAAACGGTAATTCAATTTTTAAGATAACGGACGTTTGAGATAACATGTGACTTGCGATGACGAAATAAAGAATTGATAAAATTTTTGGAAAGGCAGGTTCTAGCGGTTTCGGAGATACAGCGGAAAAAGTAAAAAAAAATGATATTTGGCGGACAAAAATGATCATTAAACATATGCACATCAAATTATCAGATATTTAATAATTTTTTAAAAAATGAGTACTAATTTTTTTTACAATTTTGTTGGATTCTGTACCAATATTGCTAATTTTTAATTTTTACTTATACCGTTCAAGCAATTTTCAAAATTTTCAGTATTTTTTTTTCAAAGTTTTCAAAATTATACAAAGTTTTATACTTCAAATATGAATTTCAAATTTACAATTCAGTTTGAAAATATAAATATTTTAAATGAATTATTTTGATCGTAAGAAATATATCCTCAGATTGATTCATTCGGCACCACTTGCTAATTAGCTTATTACATTAATGTAAACTTTTTCAAGTGTTTTGAGCGATAATGAGTGATTATAATTATCTATTTGAAAATGTTTAAAACAAATGTTATTAATCATTGATTAATATTTCTTGATTACTGATTTGTTTCCCTCGAATATTTAATTTTTGTATGGGAAGTGCCAGCAATTTGTGGCCCCCTTAAGGGGCACAAATAGTGTAAAATTTCGAAAAAATCGATTTTTGTTTTTTTTCATATTTCGGTAGATTACAGCTTTAAAAATAACTTATTAAACTTTCAAATCGATATCTCAAATAGTTTTTGAGTTACAGCCATTTAAAAAGTACATATATAGTATATAGTACAACGATCATTTTATCTCTAAACGCGTTTTTCTCGAAACAGCATTTTCCGAATTTGCTGCAATGATTGCTCAGAAACGAATGATCAGATTACTATCAATTTTTTTTACATGTTCTTTATATAGTTCTCCATAAAATGAACTATCGATTTATTGATCGGATCAAAAATCGAATTTTGGCGGTAGAAAAACGACCAAAATTTTGGGTAAATTTCGACTTTTTTTAAAAAAAACGCCGCCATTTTGTCAATTTTTGATTTATTTTTTCATCGTAGTTCATTTTACAGACAATATATTATCTAGTTTAACGAGAATTTTTTTTTTCTTTCATCCACGTAGAAGGCCGGAATCACTGCAGCAGTTAAGGGCCTTTTTTTTTGTCGCGCCGTTGGAGATCGACGATAACTTAAAAAATATTTAATTTTTTTCTTCAAAAATTAATACTATGTATTTTTAAAACATGTATAAATATATTCCTAAGATTTTGAAATGATTGATAAAGTAGTTTTTTTAATATAAATTCTCAAAAATCGCCTTTTTTTAGGCGGTTACACTAGTTGTGCCCCTTAAGGCACGATGCCATGCACCACTAGTTTTAATATTCTTCTCGAATTCCTCTGCACAATTCATTGTATTTGTACACATAGTAAAAAGAAAAGGTCGAAAAAACAAATCCGGATGTACTTATTCTGAATGAAATATGCGACGCATATTTAAAAAAAAATACAACGCATTATTTTGAAACTCGCGAAAACCAGAATATCGCACCACACACCCAAACATAAAAAACCTTTGTAAATGGCATATTTCATTTCAATGACATATTTCGTCACGACGAATGTGAATCTGAATACTATAATTTCCATTGATCTTACCGCCTTCGCGGCATTCCTTGGATCTCCTGAAAATCTCGCACAATATGGATGCGTACGAGTAGCTGATCACCGCCAGAGGGATTAAATACAACAACATCATCCCGGTGGCGTTGTAAAGGATCTCCTGGAACGGTGTGAAAATATTGTAGGTGACGCATTGCTCGTACCACGTTATGTTCGGATGATTTTCCAAGTGAAACACGTATATCTGAAAAATAATAACAACGTACTATCAATAAATCTACCTGGTCATAAATCAAATATTTCATTTTGGTTTTTCACGCGGTAGACGAAAAGATAAAATTTGATTTTGGTTCTGAAGTGCTCGTAGTAATTTTATACTATCAGCTGTTGTGTGTTGTTTTCACCTAGGTATGATGGTAATATATATTTTCGGTATAAGATAAAATTAGTTGGGTGTAATAATAATACTTTGCCTATTGACAAGTTACATATATTGTTATCTATATATATATATATATATATATATATATATATAAGTCGGGTTTTCCTTCCTTACGATATAACTCCAGAACGTACGAACCTATTTCGACAATTTTGCCGCAAAGAATAATTATGTACACGCACTGAATTTCACAATTCAATAAAAATTGCTGGCAATTTGGTGACATACCAATGATTCCGACTGGTCTTCCCTTTGACTTTAAACAATTGCAATGTCCAGTTCGCCTTGCGTTCGCAATGACAATTAACAAGTCACAAGACCAATCGCTTAGTGTTTGCGGGATAAATTCAGAAAATCATTGTTTTTTACATGGGCAGTTATACGTTACCTCTTCACGAGTTGGGAAACCATCCGCTTTGTTTGTGTTAACGTCAGACCAAAAAACAAAAAATGTGGTTTACTAAAGAGCACTTCAATGAAACGGATAATTTGCGGATTCACTTTCATTTACTTACAGAAGTTCAACTAAAAAACATTTCATTTTTGTAATCGAAATAATTTCATTACTGTTGTGTAATGAAATCAAATTTTTCCTTTTCAAATGTAAAACAAAAAAAAATTCTTCATCTTTCTCACGAAACCATCTGGTGGCGAAACGGAGTTCGTCGGGTTTGCTAGTTATGTTGTAATTGTTAATACGGATAATTAACTTAAAATAATTATTGCAATAGGTATTAATTAATTAATACCTATATGCAGGGCCGGTCCTGGGGTACTCAGAGTTTGCATGCCAATATTTTCTAGCACCCCCTCCCCCTTTTATTTAAAGTTTTTGATCAGTTTATCATTAAATTATATAAACATTTACGTTAATTTTTGTAAATAATTTTTAATAAATCTAGATCTAGTACACAGAAATTAGATATAATTTAAATGCGCATAAAAGACATTTATTTTAAAATTATTTAGAAGATCAAGGCGATTTGCTCATAATTGTTGTGCCTTCTATAGTTCGCACTATGGAATTAACTATTTTGAAATTCTTATTTCCAAACTTTTTCGGACATCAAACAATTTCAGTATTTTCATTATTGCTTCCGAAAATATTTTTAAATTTTATTTAATTCTAACGCATGTGTAATATTCGATTCGAGTATAGAATTATTTTATTTATTAATTTTGGGGATCTTATGCGATTTATTGTGTGAGAGAGCAAAATAAATCTAGCCACTCATTATTAAACATAACACTGGGTACTTCATGTTAAATTATTTTAATTCAATATTTCATAATTTAAAATATCTAAAATTGCATCGTAAACTTCTCCTAATTGATATCGTAAGAGCCGAATTGTATGTATTCATTTATACTTTCCCATCGTGTATAAGATTGTTGTTTTAAAGTTTAAAAAATATTGTACAACATTAGTTGAAGATGCAAAAAAATTATATATTTTTTAAATGATATTGAAAAAACTATATTATAATTAACATATCCGAATTTCGTTTTGGCGCCCCCTAAGACGTGCGCCCACATTTTTTGCATGAATTGCATTCAAGGTAGGATCGGCCCTGCCTATATGAATAATTATGTACTCAATACGTTAGAGCGAGGCATAAAGGTCCTCAAAAATACATAGTACCAAGAATTTTTTAGCAACAATATTTGAAAGTTGAGGGCAAAAGATGTGTAACCAGACATCGCTATAAATCAAGCAAAGTCCCTATCAGGAGATGAAAGGCAAAATTTAAAAATCTACAACAAAATTATATTCTTTCTTGTTATTTTCTTTGGTTGTGAGCACTGTTGTTTAGGTTACGAGACCTCAAAATAATATTTAACTAGCTGTAAGTGGAATTCTGTCTTAAGGCAATTAGGGCATCGTGCCTTAAGGCAAATTGCTGGAACTTCCCGTACCAAAAATTATTATTTTTTTTAAAAACGATTAACATTTTTGAAAAAAATTTACTTTGAAAAAATGAGATTTTTGAGAAACTATAAATTTGACAAAAAATTACTTTTTTTTGAAAAAAAAAATTTTTTTTTAAAAAATTTTTTTAAATTTTTTTTTTGAAAAAAAAAATTTTTTCTTTATTTTGACATATTGTGGAAGATCTGAACTTCCTTTTCAAAGCAATCGTACTGCTTTAACTGCATAGGGACAAAATATAAAGCGCGTAAGCGCCGCGTCGCTGTCTAACGCATGAGCATTGGTACGGAACCCATAGGAATGTTAACAAAATATATAATTATTGTTGAAATCTCTATAAAATATCTGATAATTTGATGTGCATATGTCTAATGATCATTTTTGACCGCCAAATGGCCCATTTTTTTACTTTTTCCTCTATATCTCCGAAACCGCTAGACCTACCTTCATGAAAATTTTACCGATTCTTCATCTTGTCAATACAAGTGAAATGTTTTTTGAATTATTCAAATCGGACGCTCCGTTCTCTTAAAAACTGAGGTACCGTTTTTGGCACTTTTTGCCCCATATCTTCGGAACGGCTAGACCTGCCTTTGCCAAAAACTAATCAGCACGTCTCCTCATCAATACGAATCGAATGTTTTTTAAATTATTCAAATCGGTTGATCCGTGTTCCCGAAATCGTCGACGAAAATTTGTATCCGCACATACATACACACACATACATACATACACACACACATACACACACACACACACACACACACACACATACATCCATTTTTTCTAAGGTATGCCAAAATGTTCAGAAACCTCTGAAACGTAAAGATATATAAAAATTTTCATTTTTGATTTTTTTGCGATTACTATAACTTGCCCTACGGGAAGTTAAAAATACGTTATTAAATTGTTCAATAAAATGTATTGTTATTTTTAGGTTAGATTCAATAGTTATTTTATATAAACACTATAAAAGCTTAAAAATGTCCACCACAATTATCTCAAAAAAAGTAAAGTTGAAGGATAAACGAAAATGTTTGAAAATAAATATTATAAAAAATAAATAACGTAAGTAATTTATTTGTTTTATAGGATGTATCGTTATTTAATTTAGTTCTATTCAACCGTTTTTTATATTGCCTCTACAGAAGCTGACATGTGGGTGGGGTAAAAAGGATCAAATAAGTGGTGGCCACACCCTCGCCAAAAGCAAAAAATAGCTAGTAGAATAAAATGTAAATAAGTTAATAAAAGAAATTTTATAAGAGATAATTTTAATGAATAGTTATTCCAATTCTTCTAATAAATATTTCTGATAAAATACCAGATTGAGGTTATCTTTGTAAAAAATGTACTGATAAAATTCATATTTTGCTTTGATTGAATAATGTAGCTAATAATTTGTAAAATACCTTTAGGATTAAAAATATGAAATTGATCATGTTTGTTATCTGGGGCCTATGGGGTAAAAAGAACCTGGTGACAAATCAGCAAAAAAACACATTTCTACAATGATGAATTAGCTAGTTTTACTGAACACAATCAGAGAATTGTTCATTTCATATGGGTTATTTGATGTGATATAATTGGTTTGGTTTTCATAATATAATTGCTCAAAGTCAAATTGGACCTTTGTGTCCCTTCCTACCCTATAATAAAAGCTTCGATTTTTATATATATATATATATATATATATATGCGTTGGCATATGTAGGTATATATAAAAGAAAAGAAAAAACTACGAGCAAAGACGGAAATTAAATTTTTGTCCCTAAGCAATTTATTAAAATAAGCCACTAATCTTATTATAACGTAAACCAAGTAAAATTCGAGTTTTATATACAGCATGGCCACAAAAAATATTCAGAAATGCTTTATTAATGTCGAAGAAAATAAAGTAGTTTGCAAGTTTACATATTAATCGCATACGTGCAATAATGTTAAGTGTTTCTAAAAATATAAAGTTTTTTCCATGAATAGAATTATATTTTTATTTTTACTCTATTGTGAGTACGGTAATTTGCGTAATAGAAATTTTATATTTGTATACAATTTTCCGCCTACAAATTTTTACTTATATGCGTGCAATACCTCGAATCGCCCACCACAAAGATGCAATAATTACGTTTATTCTTCAAAATACATACATAGTAATTTACGTTTAATATGGAGGATATATAAATGCGTATTATAGAATATAATGTAGTCTTGTTATATCTTGATAATTGGGGTTAATGTACTGTACAAAAAATAATTTTAAAAAATATTAGTTGCAATAAAGTACTTGAAAAAACACAGTACATATGATTAGGTACTTATAGTTTTAGTATACAATAAAAAATGCAGTAGGGTAGAGTGTGACCGGCAGGGCTAAAAGGTTCAATTTGACTTTATTGGCCTTTTTACCCCATAGGCGGGTTAAATTAGGACAACCAAAAAGCCAAGAGTTCCAGTATCTTATTTTTTAAATTCAACCAATGCAAAACATACATTTTATGAGCACATTTTTTATAAAGAAAACACTGCATATAATCTTTTAGATCAGAAATATTCATCAATCATTCATTTTTCGGAATAAGTTAGTTGTTAAATAACAAAATTGAACTTTAATTGAATTATTCAATTAAATTTAACGTTTATGAAGCCTATCTTATTCACACTATCAATACTTTCAAAACACAAGTCATTGTGATACCTATTATCCATTTTCGTTCGAAATTATTGTTATCGTTCTTACTTTGTTAGAACCAAAACTGAAACCATTTTACATATCAAAATTGTTGAGGTAACAATTGTAAATTTTATAATTATAAATAATCTAAAAAAAAGAAATTCACCAAATTTTCGCGACTTGAAAAAAAATCTTATTTTTTAATACATAATTTCACTTTAGATTGTTTAAGGAGTGGGTTAATCGGTTAATTATAACTTTTTAAAGTTTTTTTTTAGGTTCAACTAAAATGGAATTTAATCTTGAATACAATGATTTTGTCTTCTTTCGAGAGGTACGTTTAGTTGTTTTCCTATCTCTCCCAGCAATTAGAAAGAATCGTAAAAATGAAAATCCGAGAAAATAAATTGAATTTATTTTTGAAGTTTTAGGAAGACATTCTTGGCTAGTTTTGAAAGACATTTTTGCAAAAAAAAATCGATTTTTTCAAGCCTCTAAAGCAGGCTCCCCCATTAGGCTAAAAATTCCATAATAATAATGTATTTTTAGCGTTATGATAATCATTCCTTTCATATTTGATGCTTATATGAATCATAAAATGTAAAATTAAACAATGCTCGTAATTAAAATAAATTTTAATATTAGGAAAATGTTTCATCTCTTCGGGATGCCAGTACAAATTAAACGTATAAGCTCAAACAAATTTGAGTAATTGTGATCCTTTAAATAAGAGTCATTCTTTTACAAACCCGACCTTGACATTTTATAAATGATATGTCTGAATTTGCAGTTAATTTAACGCTGGGATGAAAACTGAAATTGAGCAAATCAACCATATTTCAATATAAATATTTTCGTAAAAAAAAATTTCAGCAAAATCCTAAAATACGTATCAAATAATTTTATGTATAATATCTGTAGAAAAAATTTCAACAATTCTAAAATGTCACATTTTATTTTTCCCAAAATCCATGCGATTCGTAAAAGAGAATGACCCACAAATGTATTCCATTTACAATTATATAAATACCCCTAGATATAATGAAACAATATATTAACTGAAACAAGCTTAATTCCAATCCTTGAACAACTCCTGCAGGTTATTGAAACTTTTGTTCAAAGTTGGACCGCAAAGTCCAGAGATATAATAAAAGTTATGGAACTCACTTGCGGTAAACTGAATATGGCGGAGGCCGACCAAGCGACCCCGAGCATCACCCGGCCCCTTTTGTCCGTACCCATTTGATGTAAGGGCTTCAAAACTGCGTAATATCTGGAATAGACAATTCAATTTTAATAGATAGATACATTGATGTAGATATCTAGCGGAATTTAGAAATATTGATAGTATTATAATGATATTTTGGAAACTTTTCAATTACTGATTTTAAGAATGAAAAAAAAATTTGAATAGCTTACAAAAGTTTCTCACATTATAATGCTCTACAGCAACTATGAATCGCTGATAAATTGATATTGATTTTTTATAAATTAAGTCGATTATTTACACATGTCGAAAAGTTTATGCAACTTGTCTTAAGGCAAAATGTCTCCTACAACCGGATAAAGCAGCAACAACGGAAAAGAATATTTTAACTTAAGCCCTATGACCATTTAATATTAATTATTATCGAGAAATTGATATCAATACTGCTTGAAGACAAGTTTGTAACTGTGATTTCGTAATAAAAATTGTCAAATTAAGTTTTATTCTTTATCGATATTTAAAATTTTGTGAATATGTGTTTTTAGAACTTTGTGTATTACAAGTGAATAGAATCTAGTTAGTGTTGCGATTGTGAAACTTGCTAATAAAGTTTGAATTTGCTCAATCTTGGTATTGGCGTCTGAGAAGTCATAACTCATATATGCATAAAAAGTGTAAAATAGTTCCTTAAGAATGTTATCAAATGTTATTTCATAATTATCTAATACTTGATGGCAATTTACTAAATAGCTTTAAGTCCATCTGAAGAATTAAATAAGAAAGCAAGTTTGAAAGTGGAACTTTTAGTAGTGTCTTGTGTTGTAATAAATAAATTTTAGATTTCGACTTAAAATTAAATAGATCGGCATTATTTTTTATAAAAAAAAAAGAAAGATTAGGAGAAAAATACAAGAAACGGTTAAGAGATTGTGCTCATGTTAAAAAGTTGACAAGATAGGAACAACATAATTCTAAATGCTTCTTTTTCAAAATTAAATCCCTGAACTCATCAGTACCTTAAACATCAATACAAACCAAACCGGTGATGTATGGCATCGTGCCTTAAATTGCTGGAACTTCGCGTACCGCAATAAAATATTCGAGGAATTTTAAATATTTTTAATTAGATTTATATTATTATAGTTAATAGATTATTATAAAAAATATTGTAACTTGTATAGAAAAGTAAATAAACAAAAATTAATCAATCGAATTTAAAATGAAGGGCATTGTCTAATATCTATAACAATTATATAAACTGAATTGCAAAATTAAAATTATTTATTTGAAGTATATAACTCTCATCATTACGAATAGAATGCTTTTCGAATCATTCAAATCGAATGCTGTTTTCTTTCAAATATTTGTTTCGATTTTCATTATCTGCCCTCTATATTTTTAGTAAGATTTAAAGATATTTATTATTCACTCAACAAAATTAAGCAAAACTTTAGCTAGTATTAAAACTAACATTTGAATTATTCTATTCAAAAAAAAATTTTTTTTTGGAATTAAAAAACAAGTTTTTTTCGCAAAAGCAATCGTTTCGTCAACACAAACAGAAAGTTTTTTGGATCATTCAAATCGGATGCTTAGTTCTCTCAAAAACTGACATTTTTTGAACATTTAGCAAAAGGTATGTCCCTATGGGTAATCTCCTGCTCTGCAAAAAACTAATCACCACTTCTCCCCGTCATTACGAATTGAATGTTTTTTAGATCATTCAAATCGGATTCTCCATTCTCTCAAAAACTCGATTTCTATTTTCTGCACTCTTTGCTCCGTATCTCCGAAATGGCTGGACCTGCCTTTGCCAAAAACTAATCATCACATTAGAAATCAAATGTTTTTTGAACCATTCAAATGGGTTGATTCGTGCGCCCGAAAACGTGAACGAATAAATGCGGACACACAAACACACAAACACATCCATTTTTTCTGAGGTATGCCAAAATGTTCAGAAGCCTCTGAAACGTTAAGCTATGCAAAAATTTTCATTTTCGATTTTTGGTCCATTACAATAACTTACCCTACGAGAAGTTAATATATTATACAACCATTTTTCCTAAAATATTACTATCTTGATGATCAAAAAGTTTTTAAAATATGATAGAGCTCAAGATTATTAATAATGAGTAACGTAAAATACATTCTTCATAAATTAATCATACTGAAAAATGCAATGTTTTTTTTTAAATATTATCTTATGAATGTCCTATTAATTCATCAGAAGAATCATTGTTAATGAATAGAATAAAACTACCATTCATAAAACAATTTACAAGAGTCGTTCAGTAAAAGTGTAATACACCGAAGCAAATATTATGTTTGATTAGTTCCCGAAATAGAACGGCCGTAAGCTAGAATATATATTTTCATGGAAACAAACCAAGATTATATTCCTATTTAATGTCAGTGTTAATAGATACATCGTATATATTGGCACTATGATATAGTGTCGCCAAGGACACAATTTTCAAAATTATAATAGACAACAGCGATTAAATACATTATTACATACACACAGTATATCTAATAATGATCTTCTTAATAGGGTTTTATTAAAACTATCTGGAAAATAACTAATTTATTTCCATAATAATAGATATAAGTAGTAGTGTATGGCATCGTGCCTTGAGGCAAATTGCTGGTACTTTACGTACTGAAGAATATTAAATGTTGTCAAATATATTATTATAAATTCTGCAACTATCAATATTCGTATTTTATAGACAAAATATAAGAGCTTATAAATTGGCCGATGGCGTTTATATAAGTACACATTTGAAGTAATGAACAAAACCTAATCAAGCTAAGTTAGAATGATGGGCCTTATATCATATTTTTAAGAATTATATTAACTGAATTGCAAAGTTAAATTATTTCAGGTATACAAGAGAAATTTAAAATTAAAATAAAAATACATAATTATTTTGAATATACAAAACAATTTTTTTGGAAATTAAAAAAAAAATTGATAAAAATTTGGTACAAAACTATTTTTTTGTTTTTCCAAAAACTATCATTTCGACAATACTAGCAACATGTTTTCTTATACACTCAATTCCAACGTTTCGTTCTATCAAAAACTATCATTTTAAACACATTTAGCTTCATATCTCCGAAACGGCTGCACATCTCCTTATCAATAGGAATTGAATGATTTTTGAATATTTCAAATCGGTTGATCCGTACGCCCGAGACACGCATACACATATATATGCCAAAATGTTCAGAAACCTCTGAAATGAAAGATATGCAAATATTTTCAATTTCGAGTTTTTTGAACGATTACAATACCTAGCCTACGGTAGGTTAAATATATGAATATGCTAGACAATATAAACTAATAAACCAGGCAGACATTCAAAGGACTCGTATAGTGCAAGTTTTATGATTGCCATAAATTGCCAAAATATGCCATAATGTGTAAATTCAACTTTTTCTTAATTCATAATGCTATTTTAATTTTAGATCCAAAATTAAGTTCCAAAACATTTTTTTTCTACAGTGTCTCACTTCCTATTTATCCTATTTTCTTTTTTAGGATTACATTAGCGATTTTCCTCCCTTTCTTTTCGATACTGCGCCTAATCATATTTTCAGATTAGGGAATTAAAAAATTCACGAAGCGGATATTTAAAAAATTCTTGACGTAAGAAGAATCTAAATCTTCTAATCAATTTCATAAAACGAAGTTTCCAATAAACAATTTCCAAGACTATTAGCATTACCAATTTTGCTCCAATATCAATTTCACATTAGTGAAAAAAACTGCAAAACCGACACAGAATAATTGAAAAATAAAATATTAAAATAAAAAATAAAATTTTTGGTAAAGAATTTATAATCTTAATTACCCGCATTACTTGCAAAATAACTAAAAGAAATTGAAACGCTATTAAAATAAATAATAATGAATAATAATTTTATTAATTTATGAAATTTCTGTCTATTTTGAAAGTAATATAAAAGTTATTAGTTATATCCTTTAGTAAGCTAGTAAAGTAATAAATTTTTAAGTACAGGTCAATCATGATAATGATAATCAATAAATGTTTTTCATTAAATTAAAATATTTTCTTCATATAATTTCATTCAGAAAAGCCACCTGTTGCAGCTCATGTAGGAAAACGATATAAAAATCATAATACCCTCAGGACATCAATTCTAAAAGTACTTAGATTACAATAATAAAGTAATAATAGTAATAATATTAATATATTTTCAAGAAAACAATCAGTCATGATCTTGATAATTAATAAATGATTTGGTTTATTATAATATTATATTATTCTCAATATAATTTTATGCAAAAAGCCACCTGTTGCAGCTACGATCATGTAAGAAACGGTGGAGCAAATTATTCTCCAAAGAATACAGATTTTGATAAAAGGAATAATAATCTTAATCACCCGCCTTACACGCAAAATAACTACAAGGAATTAAATCACTATAACAACAAAATAATAATAAACTAGCTGTAAGTGGAATTCTGTCTTAAAGCAATTAAGGCATGGCGCCTTAAGGCAAATTGCTGGAACTTCCCGTACCAAAAATTATTATTTTTTTAAAAACGATTAACATTTTGAAAAAAATTTACTTCGAAAAATTAGATTTGAGAAAACAAAAAAAAATTGTTTGAAAAAAAAGTTTTCTTTATTTTGGCATAGTTTGGAAATTCTGAACTTTTTTCAAAGCAATCGTACTGTTTAAATGCTGGAGCAACATAAGACAAAATATCAAAGCGCGTAAGCGCCGCGTCAGCGTCTAACGCAAGGATGTCAAACAAAGTGCAATCGGGCCGCATAAGCAAGGTTTAACTTCAACGCGGCCGCAAAAAAACTATATATATATATATATTATATATATATTATTTATATATATAGATATATTGATGAGTATTTAGTATATATATATATATATTGATATTTCTTTGTAATGAGTCTGTTGATTCGGGCAGTAGCACTAAATTAAAAAAAAACTAAAGCAATTAGGAAACTTTCTTCATTAATCCATACGTTTCGATCTGCATCGAGACCGTCATTCAGTGAAAAAAGGCTACA